AATAATATAATTGCATATATATATATATATATATATATATATATCCCATATTGTATCTCCCATATTATACGTAATATATAATTTTATACGTATATATAATCTGCACGAGTTTCGAACAAGATATTTTTTCGTGTTTCTTATTATACATCGATGAAATGAAATCAAATGATTAAAATAAATTATATTCTTCTCGATGTTTTTTCCTCATAGTTTTCGAATTTTGCGAAAAATATTTTCTTATTCTTCTTTTTATCCTTTTTTAAAGATATGATTTTAATAATCTAAGAATACCATTACAAACAAGACAAAATAGAGAAATGTTGAAAAGAAGTACGACAAGTGACTGAACAACAGTGATGATTTTTATTTTTTATGATGATTTATTTCAATTAATCGATATTTTTATTTAATTCCGATCAATCGTAATATTCACAAATCAACAATTTTAACATGCAAGAAATATAAATAATAATGATAGCCATGATCATGATCCGTATCTCGAAACAACGACCTGTTGCTCGACGAGCGGCTACTTACAACTAACAGCTACGACTGATCGATCTATCTCTAATCCTATCCTTTTCTTTGATTTTTTTTTTTAATATTTCTTCATAGATGAATCAACAATTTTTTAACGCCGAAAAAAATATATAATAACAATATTCGTGTGCATAAAAAATATTTTCCCTAATATCTTGATTACATTTTGTCTTTAAAAGTAAGTTTTAAACTTTTTTTTAAACTTTGAACGCGAATTCAAATTTAATTTATTTTATAACATCATCGATTTAAGAAACAAGTACTAATATTATACATATGTAAATACATTGAAGAACAATATTCAAATCTATCGTCCCGAGTATATGCATATTCATTTATGCATTCATTTATGTACGTATTCTTTTTTATCCTATGTATATATCCATTACATTGGGAAAAAATTAAAAAAAAAATTTAATAGATTAAATCTATATATTTATCGTGACGATTTCTGTTAATACGTTCGTTTCAAATGCGAAACTAATATAATATAAATAATAATAATATAATATAATTAATAAAAATTAATTACACGTTATCGTTCGATTTAATTTTATTATTTATCGTTTGAGAAAAAACAAGAAAAAATTATATAAAAAAATTTAAAATGTAGAGAAAAAAAATTAAAATGAAAAAAAAAAAGTTGTAATTGAAAAATTGTAACTTGTCAGATATATTATAATATAAATGCAAATAGATATTAAGTGACGCGGAGCAACGAAATCGAGAACAAGTTGAGAATTCAAGAAGGAAGGACAGGAATGAGAGAAGAGTGGGGGCAGTGAGCAAGCAGAGGAAAGGGGAGATTGGCAGGATCGCGCCGGCGTGATCGTTGGATAACGTCGGACTTTCCGTGCTCTCTGCGGCTTGACACGCATAAAACGCGGTCGGCAGGAGAACAGAGAGGAGAAATGAATGCGATGGAAGAGAGGGAAAGGGGTGAGATGAGAGGAAAAGAGACAGACAGACGTGCATGGAGGATCAATAAGAGAAGCGATATACAAACGAGTCGCCGGAAGTTGACCGCGATAGCGTATCGTCCTGAGTCTTGCTCCTCTATTCAAATTCCCCTCAAACGTGAAACCGCGACTAACCATCTTGAGGCGTGGGCACATGCCGTGACGATTCCCTAACTATGAACATAGGACCGCAACGATGTATTTAACGCAATATGTATTTTCTTCCTCTTTCGATTCCTGTAAATATCTTATATATTTTTTTTAATTATATGCAATAATACTCTTCGTAATTTACCATTATTCTTTTTCATGATATAATAATTTATATTAATTTTTATCAATTGATTATGAATATGCTTATCTAATAAGTATCTTGAAAACATATTTATATTTATTATATTTATATATTCTTTTTCTATAAACTATATTTTGGTCGACTTAAATTTTTATTGTATATTTAATTAACGACAGATAACGACGGATAACGAAATAAATTATCTTATTTACAAAAAAGATCAATATTCAACTTCATTTCGAAAATAATTTTAAACACAACAATCATAACTTTGGAATACGTTAATACGATCTATCGAGTATATAGATGACGAATTATTAACAAATTCGAGAATTGATAAACTAAAGCAACAACAATTCATAAATACTTGGGTGATGAAACATATATTTATATCCTACTTACAATAATTGAACAAATTAAACGCAACATTTTAATTATTTTACCTTGTAAATTAAAACGGTGTATATATGATGTTGTAATATATCTTGTTTATACCGTGGCACAACGTTTATTCCGTTATTGTGGCTGCCAATTCGCATATGGGTATATGTATTATATTGTATATTGCATATTGTCCAATGCAAAGAAGCAAATATTGCGAATGTTTAACACGCTAATCTATCTGTGAAACGATCGATGAAAAAATTGAATCATCTGTGAACGCTTCTTATTGAACTTAATAATCGATTAATTATATGTTTGTATTGAAAGATAACGATAATGTATAGAAAGATGCGCAAGTTAAACAAATTCAATTACGAATCTGATGCGAATCAATAGCTCTATAGTACTTATGTATATTGCGTATACATGTACTACTATACATGATTTATCATTGTATCGATGTTTTAAGTGAGTGATATATAATGATATATAATGATATATAACGATATATAATGATATATTAGTTTTTTATAACAGTTATATATTCATAATTCATAATTTGTTCAAAAACAAAAATATATATTTAAAATTCTTTTTTTAATATTTTTTTTTCTTGTTTTATCTACATTAATAATCCAAAAAGATAATATTCTAGATTCTTTATTTTCTTAATACATGCGTTGACGCATATTGTTACTTGATAATGTGTAGCGTAAAAATAATTTCAACTATAAAACAAGCAGAGGAAAAAAGAAGCAAATATCTTATATTTATAATTTGCTTCGTCACATGCGATGAATCTCCAACGCGTAAATTTTAATCCTACAGATACGCGCGTGCGCGCATATATATGCATATACGCGCATATACGAAAAAAAACGAATGTCAAATCATTATCAGTTAATAACAATTCGATAATTACCATTTTATTAAAAGAAAACGAAAAATTGTCAAATTTTTAACGAAA